ATATTTAAATCTTATAGCAGACATACGCACTTGACTAACACATTACTCTCATGAATGAAACTCACATTCGGAAGGACTTGTCGTCAGGTCCCGCTACTTTCGTTGGAGTGTCATCTGAAAGAAAGCATGAATAGATAACGGTAGGCTGTGAAGCGTGTTCCTAATACTAGATCTCCAAAAAAATTTATCCAATTGTGTTTTGCAGTTTTTCCCATCCATTATTTTCAAGTCGAAACTCACCTCCTTGGCCTTGATCAGGAGCTTGCTCTAGCGGTGAGAGCACTTTGAAGCCAATTTTTCCTTGTTTGTCGACGTAGACGACTGCACCTTTGTTGTTCTTGAAAACTGTTTGATACACGAATAATAAAGTAAAACATCAGTTCCTCTCTGCTTTGTCAAGAGTATTGATGAAAGAAGTAAGAGATTTCAGTACTTTTGCGCTATACCACTTAGCTGAGTTTTCTCAATACAAATCACTCTATTAACAATACTACATAAGGTTGCCAATGATAAGAGAATTTCGTTTTGTCGCATTTAACGGGAACCATATTTTCGCCCAAGAGAAAAGAGACTCACCGCTTCAGGCTGATAACGAGGAGCTGTGAAGATAGTGATTAATTTTCTATTACAAAAGAAACCATATCCAGACATCATCATCTAAAAATAATTGATGCAATTACATTCGCTAATTTTGGATAGATGTACTCACTTGATGGGCTCGAACTATAAGATCCACTCGCAATTTCTCGCAACACTGGAGTACTGTGTCTTCCCCAAAGAATGTTGCGACTCCGCGAACGGTGTTTGGCGCATACCTTGACTTACCGGTTGGCATTCATAGGGTAGAATAATGGTGGATTACCCTTGAATGTTCAGCATGGGATCAGCCCAAAGGAGATCCATAGCCAAGGGGTTGTTGTTAGGTTCATCCAATGGCCGCGCAATCTAGAATTTTGTTTTTATGGCTATATCCAAAGAATAAAGCCTTCCATGGCTGTATTTCACGCTGACACATGATTTATCTGCGTACAGTAATGTGATCAAACTCCGCTCAAAAGTTTTTGGTGTATCTGGATGCTTAAGTAAAGATGCATTAAGTAAGCTGCTTGTGCGGCAGCTTACTTGTTCAATTGTGTCTAACAAGGGAACGATACTTAGTGTCCGTGGATTTTGGATATGAAATGCACACCAATATACTCGTTTTCGTACACTGATTCCGCATCTGCCTTCCCTTTCTGCTAATCTTTTTATTCAAAGAAGTTACGAAGGTTTTTCTTCCTAAGTTTGGTCGCCCGAGGGAAATATGATAGGAACACCAACATGGTAAAATGTTAA